ACCGACGAAAGAGCGTTTTTTTCTTTCTGGAACTCATTACCATCATTTATACATTGTATTAATTGTACACTACTACACAACAGTGGGTCATTAAATATTGAATTAATTTTGGAAAACTATGACGATTGCCCGTTTTGAATGTTTTGAATATTCTTTTAAAAAGCACTAAAGTAAATATTTTGGATATTAAATTATGTACAATTATTGAGTATATAACTATGTCAGACATAATCAATAAATTGTGTGTTTAATTTCCAAATTCATTCATTTCCCAAATGTGTATTTCATATTGTAAATTTCCAATATGAAAATTTCATTTTTGTTTTACTCTAAGGTTCGAGATTACGCAAAATAGTCAGAAGATTAATGTAAACGTTTATACTGTAAAATACTTTATTTTAGCTGGGATTAATTTTGGATGTTTTTGTATAAAATTTATTTTCACCAGTTGAATGTAAAATATAGGAAAAAGGGTATATTCGCTGGATTGTATTTTCACTGAACCACTCCTTCAGCGAAAATAGCGAAACACAAATACGTCAAACATTTTAAATTTTTTTAATTAAGTAACATAATACTAGAAGATATACCTTTATTTGATGAACGTTTCACCATTAACCTCGTGATGGGAGACTAAAAATGCCACCTTCAACAAAATGAAAGAAAATATCTGTAAATTGTATGTTTCAAAGCGTACGTGCTGCGAATTTGTGTACTAACTGCAAACACTTAATTTGGCAGTATATTACATTTACAAGAAATATTTAATCAGTAATTAGAGTGTTACGTCACCATACAAGACGGGGGATGATGAATACCGCAATTTGATTCTCTATTATTCGTTTTTGAGAACCACTTACAATGTTAGGTTATACATTTCTTAAGGCTCGTGTAGCGAAATAAATTGTTTTTGAATATTTAACCAAAAACGACCTCGACCCCCATTCTTCTCATGATATTTTCGAAATAATACCACAAAGCGCAGGGTCCGTCTTTTTTATGAAATTTAACAGTTCTCACTATTTGAACATAACATTCAATTCCACAATGGAAATCGATGGTCGATGGGAGGCATATTCGCAATCCGAACACACAATAACGAGATAAACGAATGTATGCGTGATTTATTTTACCTTTTATTTCCAATATTCAGAAAAGGGTATATAAACAGTCGATGTTCCACTGTCTCGCCATCATCAAGAATCGTGACCCGGTCGAGCAGTCATGTCTCGTCTACCACTTGTTTTATCCCTAGTGTACCTTCTTGTAGTATATGTTCGTAGTGAAGTGTACGAACAACCGCCTCCCAATCTGCCATTGGATGACCCAAGTCCTGACGTACCCGATAACGATGATGTTTACGAAGTGGATGGTGGAATCGATAAGCGTAGCGCAAGTATGAATCTTTTTTTTTATGCGTCATTGGGTTTCAGATTGCGCCTTTCCCTCAGTAAATGAAAACGATTCAAATGAGTATTATTCCTTCAAAACAGGCGAAATCTGCGTATTATTTTCAATTAGTTTAACAAATAAAATTGTTCATATATCTTTGCATGGTACCATAAAATGACATTTAGATACATACATGGCACAACTCATGTTTTGCCATGACCCATCCAATCTACCATCAGTATATTGCACGTGTATGGGCTTAAAATTATGGTTATAAGCATACTCGCTTTCCCTAAATTTATTTTGTTCCTGATCTACTAGGATTCGAATTTCTAGCGGATTAATTTGTTGTTATTTTGTACTTAAAAATAACAGGAAAAAAAAATGGTGTAATTGTAAGCCGACACAGAACCCACCCAATTTGTGTCACAAACAGAGGTCCTTTAATGTTTGCTAAATAGAAGATGGTGCGGAATATTTTATGATTTTGACACTTTTTAAATATGCATTTTTATATGTGAATAAAACGTCCAACGCGATTCTAAATACTTCAAAAGTAAGACCACAACCGCAGAACAGGATATTACCAAGTAACAAAACATTATTTTCCAACCGACTGATGATTGCCAACTTACTGGTCCGTATAGGTATGGTAGCTGACGTTTATTTTACATAAAATATATTAGTCCAATACAGTAACTTTAAATTGTTGGTAGTTAAAATGGATGACCGACGACTAAATCTTATGATCGGAAAAGAATATATGGTGGCTTTCGTACGCAGTACCACCGCTAATTTCGAATCCCGGTTTTACCATCCTGCAGTACATGTTCGTAGAGAATTGTACGAGAAACCGCCTCCCAACCTGCCCAAGGATGACCTAAGTCCCGATGTACCTGATAATGACGATGTTTACAATGCGGAAGATGGAGTCGATAAGCGTAGTACAGGTATGGGTCGTTTGATATACGAGTCATGGCTGTTGTTCTCTATACACATTCTGGCCAAAAACACACGACCGCAAAACTGGTTTGCATCATTTGAATACTCATCGGAGTACGACTCACCGCCTCATCTTATGCATTAACAGATAATTCAGAAGAAAAAACAAATTGATATGTCGTATAAAATTGTTTTATCTCCTTCCAGGTTTTGATTACGCTGATGCCCTGTCGGCGTCAGTGGAGTTCTTCGAAGCCCAGCGTTCAGGGCCAGTGCCTGAAGATGGGCGAGTGAAATGGCGTAAACCAGATATTGCACAGTTTGACAAAGGTGCGAACGGAGAAGACCTGAGCGGGGGCATGTATGATGGTACGTTGTATTCAGTTGTATTCAGAACTTTATTACGTCACATTAAAATAAGACAAGTCAATTTAATTGTATGATAAAGAAAAGCAACCACATATTTATATGATGTCATCATTCAGCACATTCAGCAACTGGTTTTCAAATTCTAGCTCTAAATAATTATATTCTTGATGCGCTCAACATAACTTTTGCTTATATTTACCAGACCTGATGACCCATTCAAACGATATTTTAATTCTACAACACATTCAGTTATTATTAGTGCGCACTAATCCTTCTATTCCGTTATCTGTTTAACAGCTTTTACAAACGCAATGAAACTTGGAAACCGTATTCATGACTCGTAAATCATCCTGTCCTAATTGCATAAACGATCGCTGTTCCTAAACTACGAATAATTGCCATAATATATAAAATAAGAAGAAAAGGAACAGACTATATTTAAAATAAAATTATTATCACTGACCAAGAAGCGCGAATTTTAAACAAATACACAATTTCATTAACTGGATTTAAAATAATGGAAAGACAAAATTTATTTTGTTTCAAAATTTTAGCTGGTGATCACATCAAGTTCAACCTTCCAATGGCCTGGACTACAACTATGATGGCGTGGAGTTACATCGAATTTGAAGATGCGTATATTGATGCAGGGGAAGACAAAAGCACCAGGGACCTTTTGAAATGGAATTGTGACTATTTCATAAAGTGTCACCCCAGTCCTGATGTGTTTTATTACCAGGTGAGCCAGTCAGTTTGAGTGCATATTTGGTAGATACCATAAGGGCGTACGGCACGAAACCGTTTTGCTGCAAGGTGCGCCCTCTAGCTTCGGAGCGCTTCTGTGACGTCACATAACGTAGATTATGACAAATCCTTTTCAGGTAGAAACTTTGGTTGTGTATTCTTTTGTCATGGCATGGTAGTAGTCATGACTTTTTTATTTTGAAACGTTATGACCACAGATTAAAAACAATAACAACGCTTCAAAGTGGCGTCCTTTAGACCTTTCATTGACGTCACGGAAACGTGTGCATTTTCCAAATAATTTCATGTACCTACTAAACCTGACCAGAAACAAGTAACTATTTTATTTACATCCTCCCACCACCAGGTCGGCAATCCTAGTGTTGATCACAGTCAATGGAATCGACCAGAAAACATTTCATCAACACGACCATCATACCCAATAGAGGACTCTGGTGCTGACGTTGCAGGTGAAACAGCAGCTGCTTTGGCTGGATGCGCCAAAGTTTTCGAACATTTCGGTAAGTATTAATGAGTCGATAGCAACAGACCTACACTAAAATAGACAACTTACTCGTATTAATATATATGGATATAACTGAGTTTCCCGACTTAAAACCTGACTTGGAAGTATGCCACGCCACATTCTGCTTTTCATTCTTGTGACACAACGTGTCGATGGCAATAAATCACATTTTTATTTCAGAAAACTACCATCCTTAATACAAACTCTGCTATCTTTATTACAAAACACCGCTTTCCTTATTACAAAACACCACATACAAAACGCTATAATTCACGAAACACTGAACGAAATTAGGCATAAGTAGCTGAATTAGAATTGAAATACAGTAAAAGGTTTATGTTATGTATTTGATTCTACCTAGTCCAGAGGACAGACCAATGCGCCCACCTTCAAATGTGACTGTTCGATATACTGTTATATGCTGTCTTTCCTTATTTGTCTGTTTGTAGCTTGGATTACAATTACTAATGCCAGACTTACAAACATTGACAAACTAAACTGTAATTATTTATTTCGTACTTTTTTTTAGATACAAACTACGCGTCAAAGTGTGAGGATAAAGCAAAGTCTCTCTTCATGTTTGCACTAAACCATCCAGGACTGTATCCCCCAACTTTATATTACAAGTAAGAAGTGACTGTGTTTGTTTGTCGGTGGCTACAGTTCTTTTGCTCTTGTTTTTCTGTAGTTCCCTTTTTTTAATCATCGGTATGCACAGTACTAATGATTTATAAGATACTTTACTTATTATCATACAAGGTGAACTAAAACTGATACCGACCAAAAATTGCATTTTTTTTATCAGTTCAGCCAAACCATGAAACTTTTTCCACTCGAATAATTCTAAAAAATAAATAGAGTAGTGAGAACTACGGAACTTTACTTTCACAATTAGAATTTGTTTATTTACTAGTTTATATACATTGCCGTAGTTAGTATGCGTACCGTACCAATATGACAAAACCGAAAGCATAGCCTAACTGCATGAAAAATTGTGTAATAAACTCCCAAACTGTTGTCACGGGGGAAATTCGTCTTGTCTCTATACACGTCTGCTAGAGATACCGGACCGGGAAAGTCACTAAGCTCTACAGTCAAATAGACGCACACAACGAAATACGTTTCAATAGCTAGTCTTTAGCCACATCGAGAACGACCAAGGACTTAGACCGTTTATTACGTATCAAAACTTAACCAATTACAGGGTAATACAAATTCTATAAGGCGTAGACTTCAATCATACAGCCAATCACACTAAGTACTAGACACGTCATATCTTTTGATTAATCGTTCACTATATTAATAACTGCAAATACCAAACTGTCAGAAATAGTAGTCCGGATGGCGACGGTTATATCGTAATTAGTTCCAAATCACTGAGTCAAGTTCTGTCCAGGACCTCGCATGAGCCTAAATGATGACAGATTATAGAAATGTGTTAAATGATATAAACCAGCTGCCCACTAGAGCTCAACTATAAGTCGTATCGGTGACCGATCTTTAGACAATTAGAAATAAATTATGACACTGTACTGAAATGCTTGAATAATTTGTGCATACCCGTGAATCGTTGAAGTTAATTATAAAAACGACTAATTTCTTTTGATATAATTATTTAACTGTAGATCAAACGGAGCCTGGGACGAGGTTGCATGGGCCGCCATCTGGATATACTGGTTGACCGGTGACGAGTGGTACCGACAAGAGGCAGTTAACTTATACGACTCGAAAAATCTGCACGGGAAATCTTACGCATACGGATGGAACGACAAGCGAGAGGGACTCAAGGTATGGTTTAGCATGACAATTCGTTATGGTCATTGTTACATTTTTGCCTTCTTTCACAGGATATGTTCAAAAACTGTTTGTCTTTATATAGATAAATGTACTTTGTTTTCTCAACCCGTATTGTTCTCAAACATAAATATTTAAAAACAATCAGACCAACTAACAGGTTTTAGAAAATGCCAAGTTAGATAAGAACACCTTTCAATTTCGATCACCCATGATATGCTCATTGGCAATAGTCCAACCTAGCCAGCCTACCGAAATAATTAATGGCTGTCTTGAATAGATGGAGTTGTGTTTTGACATCATAGTTTGTCTCGCCATTTTAATGTATTTTTTTGTAATTTTTTGTCAATTTTGAACAAAACATAACTTATCGTTGGCTACAGATTATCTTTAAAGATTATAAAGTTTTGTTTCGTAAAATGTGACAAAAGTTGACATTTATGTTAAATAAGGTAAAATACTAAAATATATTAGTGGAAATATCTCAAATAGTTAGAATATTAGACGACCTATTGTTCTCGGTATCTATAAATATACCAGTATCCATCACATGGTGGATGCTTCGTCACACATGTGTAACGGTTCGTGTTCTTATCTCAGCTTCTAATGGGCTACATTCACAAGGATATTAATACAGACTAAAAAGCAATACTTTAGCCATTTCAAATCATACATGAATGGTTGGCTGCCGGGTGGAACTGTGACTTACACGCCTAAAGGTCTTGCCTGCAGGGACGCATGGGGTTCTCTGCGATGGGCTGGTAGGTGACTTTATTTTACTTTTATATGTGCTGTCACATTTTTAGTCTGGTTGTTGATAGAATGAAGGTCATGTGCTTGTTCTCGTATGTAATTTTGAGTTTACTCAACAACATTTATTTTAGGAAACGTGCCATAGTATCTCAGGGAAACGAATTCCAAAATTATAGAATTTTATTAATATTTTATTGCAATTTTGTAGCTAGTGGTGTATGAAAGTTAATTTACAAAAGTTACGGTTTTTCTCAAGGGCGGTCACTCATCACGAAACTAGAAGTTGTAGCTTGAGGAAAGCAAGTTAGAAGTTGTTTCCTATTATAAGTATGTAGGTCTAGTGCTTTCTTCCAGGAACATTTGGTCTAAAGCTTTAGCGGACCAGGCTGGCAAAACGCTCAGGATTTTGTTATTGGTTTCTGTTAAACTTAATGAGGTTCATTTTGAAACTCATTTCAAATTATTTAATTCAATTATATCCCATATGCTGTGTTACGAATATGAAATTTAGAGATTTCAATACTACGACCAAATTGAAAAGGTACATAGGAAATGGTGCAGGAGGCTACTTGGGCAAGGTACTGCCAAAGAAGCAGTAGTTTGAGAATGTGGGCGACTTCAAATGTTTGTTTCCACCCTTAAACGTTGTATTAAGTTTTGGCTTAGAACTACGAGAATTCCCAGGCATGCCTATTCTATGTTATGTAACCTCAGTAACCTAGGCAGAAATAACTGGGCGACTTCTATTAAACACATTATGTATTCATATGGTTTTGGGTGGTCTGGCTCGCTCAAGAAGTTTAGCACAGACGTGTTTCTTTCTGAACTTTATTTCGAGTCTCTGACACACAGAAACAGTTTTGGAAAGCGAACTCGTTCTTGAAACCTAAATTACGTAATTAAATTGAGTTCAAGAGTGCCTTACAACCGCTGTGGGATTTTAAGAAGGATGGCGAAGGTTAACCTTCAACGGAGAGAGTCTATAAAGTCGGTCTAGCTAATTTTGTTGAGGATGAATATCATTTTCTGTTGATTTATCCAGCCTACAACACGTTAAGACGGGAGTTAATTCCCCAACATTATTCGTTCCAACCAACTATTGATAAATGTGAAAGGCTTGTAAATAAATAAATGGTGATATTCTACGAAATATTTGTATGTTTGTGTTCAAAGTAATTGAAGCCAGGAAACATGCTCACAAATTAATAGTATCATATTCTACTTGTACCTGTTACATTTTGAGTATTGTTTTGTAGTGTTTGTACATGAACCAGTGGCCTAGGAAAGCAATAAACTTATTATAATTTACATACATCTGTTTGTTGCATTTCAGGCAACTCCGCTGCCCTAGCAGTTATTGCATCCCATTACGGACTCAGAGCACCCGCATACAGGAACTTCGCCAAGTCACAACTGGACTATATTCTTGGTTCCTCTGGCCATAGTTTCGTAGTAGGATTTGGCGAAAATCCCCCAACTCGTCCCCACCACAGGGGAAGGTAAGAACAGCGAGGCAGCCAAGGAGTGCTTTAAGAAAATAATAACCAATTTATATATCCACTCGATTTTCTCGCTGATGTGACCGGAAAATTTAAATCAGAGTTTCCCTCCAACTGACAGTTTGACAACTCTCCTTAAACTTAATTCTCAAATGTTCCTTCTATCCACAACATTGTGTTCATTCTATATTCCATATGTGCCATATCCCAGAGACTGTGACAGGCCTCTGAGCTCTCAACTTTACATGAACCCCTCCATATGATCCCTACTCTTGAGACTTTAGCCCATTGATGCTTCGTAAAATTCACCTCCCAAGATGGTGTTTATAAGATACCTGATTTCGCTCTTTCTGCTCAAATAACCCTACCATTTACAGCAAGAAAAAGAGCATATAATTAATACATTCGTTTGATATTGTATGTTGAAGAATAAATTCGATTACAATTTTGCAGCTCTTATGCAGCACTTCGATGACAAATAAAAACACTCATACGTATGTGCAGTAGCGATTGCTATTGCAAAACAATCAGCGCAAATGCCTATTAGAGCAATGCATTCTTTCATTGAACAAGCGTTTGGTTATGTGCTGTTTTTAGTTCATAATAAATAACACGTTCTCGTCACGCCACAACCACAGCAATAGATTCACTATTATTCAACTCGCATTGCAAATATCGAAATATCGACACGTGCGAAGTTGATATTGATAACAATAAACATGTATTCATTCCTACCGGGTATTTTTATATAGCTCCTGTCCCGTGCTCACCGAGAAATGCACTAACTCCAACAGTTTCAACTATGATGGTGCGAATCATCACCTACTGCGTGGAGCTATGGTAGGAGGTCCAAACTGTTCTGATGGCTGGAATGACAACCGCAAAGACTACGTTAAAAATGAGGTGGCGTGTGACTACAACGCGGGTTTCCAAACCCTCGTAGCAGGTATTTAGTACTTACTTTGTGATTTATAATACAAGCATCTTCCGACTCTATTTTACAATTGCTGAATTTAAGCTGCATATTTCTCGCATGATCAAACCCGATAATAATTGACGGAACCCTAAGCTTATAATTCCAGAGAATCAGTGCATGTACAACACGCGTAGAAACATTATTTAGATGGCTCTGTGTGGCGACATATTATAACATCTTCCTTTTTCTAACAGTTATTTACTCTTTTCTTTGCCAGGTGTACAAAGCATGATATTGAGAGGCATACTGGTTTAACCTGGAATTCACGACCGGAGGTTTTTACCGTTCTCACATTTGAATTGCATTGGACTCGTATAAACTGTATTCATTGTAAAATACAACTTCTAGTAGCATTAGAATAAATATCATGAAAACAATTTACCAAATATGCATTTATTTGTTGACTGGAAGGTGGGTCACATATCAACAAATCGCTGTAATGATGTGAATGGATAATCAAAAGACGTCATTAGTTTTTGATGTGTAATTGTTCATTATTCAAACTATCCCGTTGTCAGAGACTTGCTATAATATTACAAGAAATTGTATGGCTATGTGACATCCTTCACAATACCAGTCAGGAGTGAGTCTGACCATTTTCCACTTTGTTATAAACTTAGAATTTCTGGTGTACTTAATTCAGACGAAAATTCGATTGGAAATAATTCAATTGTGAAATTTCGTTGGAACAACGAACTATTGCAAATTTATAAAACACGTGTTCTGGAGAAAACTGCTGAAATTAATTTATTGACTAATCAACTGGGGGCTCATAAT